TCCAAACAGGCCGGTTCGGAGGACGGCAGTCCAAAGTCAAAACAAGTGACGCCCACGAACAAACGGAAATTTAGTTTTTTCCGAAAGGTTTTTAAAACAGAAACGCACGGGAAGAACGCCGTTTTTCTGATTAGGAGGCAGGTGAAGGACGTGGATGACGGATACACACACACACACACAACACCGACCTCCCAAGGAGAGAACTACAGGACAGGGATGGGAGGGGGAGGCTGAGGACAGCTGTAGAGGACAGACAGACGCTGTCTCTTTGCTGCAGAGAGGGATGGAGGGAGAGACACCCCAAAAAGTAAAGGGGACCAACATCTGATTCAGAAAACTCGGAGCATCACAACAACAGAGCTGTGCTGCGCTGGTGCGCTCGCAGCTGTCAGACTTACCCCCGTGCCCTTCATGGTGACTGCTCTCCCCTGTTGGAGCACAACAGAAGAGATGGAAACAGATAGCCCTGCTCAAGTCTCCTTGAGAAAACCAGAGGCGGACAGAAAAAAACTCTCATGCTCCTTTACTTCCTCCAGCTCCCTGATTGTATCAATGGACAAAAGGCACTCTGGTTCCACTGAACGGCTTTTAGAAAAAGAAGGGAAAAAAAGCTTGAAACCCGGACACAGTGGTTAGCAAGCACTCTCCTGCTTCTACCCCTCCCCCTTTCTTTCTCCCACTCTGCCTTTACACATTGCCCCGTCTCCTTCAACAGTCCCCCAACGTCCTCCAACACTTCTCTCCCGTTTCTCTTCTTTTAAAGTCCCGTCAACTTGCTCTCCATCTCTCATTCTCACTTGTTACTCTCTGACCCTCCGCTCTCCCTCCGCCTGTGACCTATATGTTTGTCTTTGAGCTGACCCTGGGCCTGCTGCAACAAAAACAGGGAGAAAAAAGGGAGAGAAAAAGCAGCCCGGCAGCAGGCGGACAGTACAGCGGCGCTCCCGACTCAGAGACAAAAATCTCTAACCTCCTTCCCCTTTAACATTCAAGAGTAATCAATCTAGCATGCTACATGATACTCAGACCCCGCCTCCCATACTCAGTCCCACACATGCAGCGAATGGAGAGACGGGGGGGCTGGTGGGCCATTGGACGCCACACACACCAATCAGCTCTGACACAGGCCCCGCTCCTCCTCCTTCCTCCGCCCAACCCCCTTTCACCGACAGCCAACTTCCTGCTCTAAGTTACCTTGAGCTGCAGGATAGGGGTCAGGGAAAAGAAAAGAGGAAGAGAGAGCAGAGCGGAGAACAGTCGAAAAAGAGCAAACAAAGTTGTGGAAAGCTCCCGGGGAAGTGTGCCGGGGTGTGTGGGTGGAGGCTTGCCTCTGCATGGTCGGTTCTCGGCTCTTCTTCGCCTCTCTGCTCGCCGGCGGGATGAGAAAGGCTCCACGGCTGCTGTCTGACAACTGCTCTCTGCTTATTTACAATGTCAAACTAAATGTCTCCCAGCGCCCCGCCTCCCCCGCGCTGCCATTGGCCGCCGGCGCCGTGATGCAGGCGGCCCGGCTCGCCCTGATTGGCCGAGCCGAGTGCCAGGACGGATGCCGCATGTTGCATCCACATGATTTAAAGTACAAAAGCATACTAGGCAGCCTCCCCGTCTCACGCGTGCACACAGTCTCACATGCACATCCACACAAATGCACATTTTGTCCTTGCGTTCTCATTTATCCTTGCTCACAGTCACAGGTGCATATTGCAAGCGTTTAGCCTCTAACCAGTCTACTCGGAATAATGACATTCATGGCACTGATATTATTCTCACCGGAGGACACATTTGTATACATGCATATGCACTCATTTCTTAGAATATAAATTAGCTTAATGGTGCCATTTCTAAAGAAACTCAAGCCACGGGAACATTGTTTATGGAAAAATACTAACAAAAAATAAACAGAATGCTAAGTACACTGAATTATAAAGACTAAAAAATATTATATATATATATATATGATTGATTTATATAGATTGATTACTCTAAAGTTAGATCAAGTTGTTTGTGATGCAGATAACTACAGGATCTTTATAAAAGAAAAAGTTGTGGAAAAAATCTGAGAGAATCAGCTGACTGCACAGTAGTTGCTGAAGATGGGGGTGGGTACATTGGATTCTGGTTTTATTTGTGGTTAAACACGACTTAAGAGATATGGGTGAAAGCCTGTAAACAAAGACATTGTTGTGTTGACCCCAAAAACTATCCCCACAGCAACTTCCACGATTAAAGCGTCATCAAAAACCACGTCAGCAATGTCATACGATGTCCTTCTTGTTAATTCACCAGTGGCTGAATGTGCACACTTTCTCCACAGAAACCTTTTACTCTGGAACACCAGAGCAGGATGCGGCTGCTGATGTGCGCACTCTGTTATGTTTTTATACACCACCAACTACATTAATTAGTCCAGGCCTGGTCTGCCGGCTCTGTAAGTACAAGCTTTGACAGTAAAGTCTGAAGAGCGATGATGTGGCCCAGAGCAAATGCTGCATATGACTGCAAAACCCTACAGCAACGGCGAAGAGAACGAGCTTAAGAGAGAGTGAAAGAGAGCAAACCTGCCCCATCAATGAAAAAACTAAGGGGGGAGGGGAACCGGAAGGATGGAGAAGGACAGAGAGGAGAGTTGTTACTGGATGGGAGGGGTAGAACAAGTGGAGGGAGGGTGAGGGAACAAGATAGACTCAAGAGAAACAAAGCTAAATGTTCCCTTTTCTATTTTTGTTAAGCACATGGGGACTGGAGCAGGTACTACAGGCATCCAGTTAATGATTAAAGTGGAGCTGCGCAAAGATTAATCTCTCCATCATGGCTCCCGTGCCAGAGCAGATTTCTGAGTGGGTGCATGCTAGCTACCCAAAATGCCTCTGTAATGACACATGGCAAGGTCACCACTCGAAGCAGACCTTCCCATGACCTGTGCTGCCCGTAGCAGGGACGTGTTTGCTCTCACTGACGCTGTTTAGAGATAAACATGCGCCAACCAGACGTTGGGTTTCATAAACACACAGAACCCTGAGGGTGGCCGAGCCAAGCCATGCGTTCACCTGCAAACGTGCAAACACATGACCACCAGCTAAAGCATGAGGTTTGCACAAAGGTTACTCACATTAAGCTTTTCTAAAGAGGCACAGAGCCCGTCATGTTGAATGGAGAGCATTAAAAACAAGCATACACTAGTTAACCTGGTTAACAAGGGAAAAAATATACTAAATGTAACTGCGGGGAAGCCTGCAAGACTCAACTGTTCACCGTAATCACTCCAAACAAAAGACCGGAAAGACCAAAAGTCTCCAGACTGTATATTTACAGGGGACACACATGTGGCTGTAAGGTATTAAACACACATCACAAGACCAGAAACAAACGAATCTTATGAGAACAAACAGAACTCAACAGCAATAAATAGACTGTAACGTTTTACAAATGGACATTAAAGTCATTTGTTAAAAAATGTTTGTTTCCAAAATGTATTCAATGCATGTTTGTTTTCTACCACTTTCTTTTCTGTGCTGTTGTATCTTATACAATTGATTAGATTTTTGAGAAACTACCCATTAAGAATATTACACACAAAAAAGGGCAAAGTTGAACTGTGACAGATTTGTTTCACATAGAAAAACCAATGTAAGTAACAGATGGTTGTCAGATGAAAACATTAATATTCATTTTCTACTGTTGCTCTATTTTAAGTAAGGTTGGGGGTGCTTTCAAATTAAGTTCAAAATGGGAGAAAAATACTTTCTTGACAAAATGTTTAATTTAGTTCAGGTGGTTAGGTTATTAGTCATAATTGTCCTCTTTACTGCTCAGCCCTCAGCAGTGTTTCACTGTAATGTGGTTTCCACATTAAAAGCGAGTTAGGTCAAAACAAGGCGAAGCGGCAAAATGGGACAAAGTGAAACCGATGCTATAGTGAGCTAGCATATCTAAAAATGGGGTTTCTTAAATAAACGACGGAGACTAAATTATTCTAGGATATTAAAAGTTACTGTGGTGGTTAGCTGGAACATCTGAGTCGCCACACAGAAAAGCCCACACACTCAAATGAGGAACTCGGGTTTAAGGTGAAGATGGTCATCGCTGACTGTCAACTTAACGTTAGCTCGCGGAGATATAGACACCGCAGGTTAAAATCTGCTGAGTGAGTCGTTAGGACACTATCACTAAATGCCGACGACTCTTGCCATCATATGAAAGTTTGCAAAGCAAGGAAGAAACTGTCTAACCAATAAAGACAACGTTTGGATCTGTCCTTCAGACCAATCAAACCTCGGACTAGATTCCACCAATCAAGGTTTTTAAGGCTAAGTTCGTTCTGCAACTGACGCCATTCGGGGTCTGGCAAAACTAGCCACTGCCTCCGGACAGTCTCTACTAGAAGAACCAAAATGGCGGACACGAAGCGCCTGTTTCCAGAGCGTCCGTGATCCTTTCAGCGGGCCACCAATAAGCGCCTCAGAGAGCGGGGAGGGAAATGGCGCCTATGTTCATCTTCCAAAACAATCGTCTATTGGTCAAGAACAGCAAATGAAAAGAAGCGAAGTAATAGCCGCCGTTTCCACCCAGCTATGACGGCTTTCATATAGACAGCATACAAATTAAACTATTTTAGTATTTTACTCACTTTCTTCAACGGGTTCGAAGTGAAGTCCGGCTCACGGTATTATTTATTTTATTTAGCTAGCAAAGGGAAACAAGATGGCTGCCTACTCGAACCGGAAAGACAAAACGTAGAAGCGTGATGACGTAGATATGACGTCGTTCGAAGACTAACAGCATGCGTCCGTTCACGAGGACGCTAAACATTAGCTTCAGCGTAATTGTGCACTCATTTCCAACCTGATGTGGCACGGGAAATGTATGTTGTATCCATGTTATAAGTATTTATTAACAAACATCTCATGCATGGAAATATCTGATGTGGTATTTTAGTGCATATTCAAACTGAATTCATTATTTTAATTGAATAACTTATAAAAAGAAATTGACATCTGCAGTGGATGTAAACATTTTATTGATGTTGGAACATTCAAAAACTACAAAAACAAAATTTTTGACAAGTGTTTGAAACAAAATAGTTAGAAATGTATCTTCTAACAATGTTTTTTTTTACAGAACAATCCTGCAAATTGTGACAGTTATTGTTTTCTTCCAACGAGTTCAAGGAGAGTGGAGGTGATTTTGTCCAGACTGTTGTAGCGAGCATCCCTCTGCATCCGGCTCATTTGCTCCATGTGGGCGGGAGGTGCAGAGGAGTGGGAGGCAAACAAATCCTCTACAGGGGCCTGGTAGTCAAGACGGTGCATGGGTTCTTCAAATCTTTTAGGATAGTATGGCGCCTCATCTGAGAAAGATAAAGTGTTGAATGTTAGTTACAAAGGCACATAAAGATTGCTTTTTACATGGCTGATCAACAAATAATCCATATAAAAAAGATACTTTACTCTGGCAGAGCCTCGTGGGAAACAGTTAAACTTTTATAATTATAAATATGACTGTATTAAGACAGCGAGTGTTTAGATAAGATAACAGTGTCGACCATTTCTTCTCCATTCAAAGTTAACAACCAGGTGTGATCTTTTGTATTCTTTTTGAATCCACCTATTCGTGCCTGGTTGGCTGGAAAAATCTTTTTTAAAAAGCAGAATACCTTCGTAACGGCCTCTGCTCGAGTGTCTGGAGTCGCCTCGAGCAGGATAGTTATATTGTTGGGGCTGTTCACTGGCTCTGTTCTCCTGCTGCTTCCAGCCTCCTCTGTTTCCCTGGTTGTAGTCGAGGTTTTCGGGGCCTCTTTGGATGGGTCCTTGTCTCTGGCCTCTGTCATACTGGGGCAGCTGAGACGGTTGTGGATCCTGCTGGAAGTCGGGATAGTTTCTGGACATTCCTCCTTCTCGACTTTGGCGATTCAACTGTAGAAACAGATGGATGGTTGTTACTTATACTGAATCAGAGTAGTGTTCGTTTTATTTTACTGGCCATGAACAGACACCTACCAAAGCCTTCTCCATTTTTTTGGCCTTGAATTCATCCAGAAGGCTGGAAAGTTTGCTCTTCAAAAAGTTAGCGTCTTCTGCGTTCTCAATTTCAATGTTTTTCTGTTAGGAGAATGTGACTGTAAGCTACAAAAATATAGACAATGAATATTATAAATGCTTTTCTCGTTAACTTACCAGCATGTCAAAGACCCCGTCAGACTCAGAGCCTCCTGTGTGGTAGCCTCCCGTAAAATGTGAACTCTGAAAAACAAAAAACACAGCAGCTCTGACATCACTGTTGTTACAGTAAAAAACAACTGGCATCCTACATTTAAAAGAAGGTACCTGTGATCCTCCATAATGGTTCATATACTGTGCTTCATTGAATTCTGGTCTCAGAGGAGTCCCGATGGCTCTCGGATTTCCACCCGTCTGTGGATTTTGAGGTCCGTATCCATCACTGAACCTTAAGAAGAAACCATAAGGGCAGAATTTAAAACATCACTGATATTAACTCCTCAGCCAGCCGGTTTTCTAGAAGCTGATCCTGACACTCACATTTCCTTGGTCCTCTCCAGTTCCTCGGGGGTGGCGTCGGAGAAGCGGCTTTTCCTTTTGCCTCTCCTCTCGTCGTTCCCCTTCAGGAAGCGGCGGAAGGGCTCCGGGATGTTGGCGATGCTGTTGGGGACCTGGGCGTGTCTCTGGGGGGACGGGGCTCCCGCCCTGCTGGGCCCGGGGGGGTCGAACGCCTCCTTGCTGAAGGGGCCTCTCATCTCATGATTGTAATCTTTGATGATGTTGAACAAATTTCCCCGGGAGCGGTCCCCGTCCGGAGGGGAGGACAGGGTCCTGCGTTTGGCCTCGGGGTCCCCGTCGTGCCTCCCGGGGTCTCTCCCCAGGGACCAGGGCTGGGCCTGCTGGGGGGGGGGGTAGTCCTGCCTCCGCCGGACCTCCTCGGAGTAGAAACCCGGTTCAGGGTAGGGCGGGGTTTGGTCGGGAGTGGGGTCCTCGGGGTAGTACTGCTGATGCAGAGCCTGGGCAGGAGGCGCCTGCTCCTGGAAGCCAAACCGGGGACCCGACTGGGGCTCCAAACCTCCGGATCTCTGAGGGTCCGGGGCGTATTTTCCTCCGTACGGAGCGTAGTCGGGACTCCTAAAGTCCCCCCTGTACTCCTCACTGTAGTTTCCCCGTCGCAGATCGCCGCTGTCCTCGCGGTCGCGGCTCAGACGCTCCCGTTTTCTGCTCCTGTCGGGCTCCTCCGGACTCAGAGGGAGAGAGTCCGCGTAACCGAAGCCGCTCCTCCTCCTGCAAAACTCCTGGAGTTGGGGTAAGAGTGGAGGCACCTCCTGTTGGGCTGCGAGTGGGAGGCTTCGGTCTCTAAATTGCTGCTTCCTTTGGGGACCTGAAGAACAACAAGTTTGAGATAATCACGTCTGTTTAGTAAACAACACTAACACCAACATTGCTTTCTGACATCCAAAGTGGTCTTTTGCTATTTTTACTCTGGATATGTGAAGATTTACCAACATTTAACTTTGGTTCTATACTTTCCGGAAAGCTCTACGTCTCCTATAATTTCCACCAACTTGGGAGATCAGAGACTTTTTTTTTTCTTTTGCATTTAAAAATATTCTTATGTCTTACCATACTGATACATTTACAGGATATTTTAAAGACTTTAACAATGTAAACACACTTCCATCTGATAGCTAAACTGCACACAAAACTGAACGCACCACTTGAGATGTTTAAGTTGCCCTCGAGTCCCCTTTTCAGTAACGGCTGGAAGAGAAGGAAGCAAACACACAATATGTGTTCAGCAGAATGACGACAAAAGGTTGATGAGATAGTAATCAGGATGTGTAGTCGTCCGTTTGTCCTACCTTTGGATTGCCACGTCCGTCCTGTCTCTCTATTAATTCTGCTTTGGCTTTCATGACCTTCCCTCCTTGGTTTCTAATAGTTAAACCATCCCAGGTTACCAAGTCGGGCCTTTTTTGTTCCTACACACAGACACAAACAGGTTCATAAGCTCTTAATAACAAAAACAAAACAAAAAAAGGGAACCAAGAAATGTTTGACAAGACATATTCACTGTTCTTTACCACATATTTCAGCCTGTGTTTACGTCCAATCACATGGTAGACCATGTCCGCCAGGGGGGAACTCTGGTTACATAACGTACACATGTATTTGGGGCCCGTTTGGGGGTCTGGATTAGGGATTTCATCCAAAAAGTCCAAACCTACAAAACATAAACACACAGAAACTCACTAAGGGAAAGATCAATATGTATATGTTTATTTAAAAAAAACTAATGAATCCATCGCCACTGGGAGCTGTGGCCGGTTAAATGTATTCACCGATGATGGGCTCATCGAGCTTCAGGTAATCCAGGTACTGGGAAATGTCCTTAAAGCTGGGGATGGCGTGTTTTCTGACGGCCAGTCCTGAGAAACCAGATGTAGGGGGTCAAAAAACGACAAGCAGCACTGAGTTCACCAAAACAAAATCCATGGCTTTAATCTAAAGCCCAGCTCAAAAATCTGCAATGATTTCTGTCTTGTTTTTTTTTTTATAAAACTGCTTTTAACATTTCTGACCATTTTTTTCTGCCTACTCTTTTTCCCCCCAGAGGACTGTGTGTTCAGGCCTATGTGTTCAGTAGAGTTTAGTGTTTAGTTGGTGGAGTTCCCGCTGAGCATCCTTCCACACGTCTCACTGGAGAAAGCTACAGAAATACGCCTCAAATATTCGGACACGAGGAATCTGAAACGAGTGGCCGGGCGCGGCCTCCAGCAGTCCGACTTGAGGAGCTCCGGCTAAAATATTCTGCTCTACTTACATGGATGGAGGGAGGTTATCTACGCAAGAGAAAACAAAGGCGTCACGTGACCCGCGGGCGCCGCCGCGAGGACGTCTTCAGGTTCTGCTGTCCAGAAACATCCCGTCATAAATGTGGACGAAAGCCTTGCTCGTATAAATAATGGCTGTTTAAACAGAGGTGGGTCCAACGGGCCTCTCCATCGTGTTCTGCTTTTACAGATGTGAAGGACCACAGATTAGGTTCCCTTTTTCTGCTTTGAGTCCGCTTTAGATTTGGAAAGCTTGCTTGAAGCGGAGCTCCTCGGAAAGCCCCGGTTTTCATGAGCATCCTTGGAAAAGCAGCAGATGTCAGGCTCCTCGTGTCCCTCCTGAGGACCAAAACTCTGCAGGAACATCCGGATGGTTCTCTACACTCGGCCCCAATAAAGGAAAAGGGACTTCCGTGTAAAATCCTCCCAGAAATGGCACATCTGGAGCTTCCCTGCTCTTTAGGTTTCCATTCCCTGGCTTATTTTGACCCCCCTTCAAAACATCTCTGCTCCCTCTTTTCTGACGATGGAAAAAAGGGCAAAAACAAGCGAAGAAACACAGAAACTATTCCGGTAATCCAAAACTCTGGAGACCGCCTGCTGGTGGGAGGACACCAATAAGCTGGCGTTTACACAAAAGAAGCCAGTGAGCTGCTTCCTGTGAGAGCAGAGGGCAGTGAGGCGTGATGGGGTTTCTTTTTTTGCTTTGGAGGAAAGGGCTTTGAAGGGGTCTCAGCTGAGTGATGACCGCTTTATACGGCAAATCACCAGCTGCTACCACAACGGCACAACTGTGTACCCGAGACTTTCTAAACCCCCAAAAACTAACGACAGAGAACGGACTGACTGTCCCAGTGTGTCACAACACTCTGATGTTGGACAACAGAGAGCAGAGAGAGAGAGTTCAGCCAGAAATCTGTAAACTGCTGTTTCTGAGGCACCTGAGGCCTTTATTTGGCCCTTCAGTTTTAGGTTTAGTTCAATTATGTAACTTGTGTGGGAAAAAAATGTAATTATATTTAACTGAAAAAGATCAGGAGCAAGAAACAGTCACGGGAGCTGTAAGTTTCTGGCAGCTGACCCCCCCTCCCTCCCTGGACTTCAGTGGCTTCACATCTCTGGTCCCAGGCTTTGTTCTTTTTTAAATAAACCTGTCGGACAACCACAAATTTCCACCAGCTGTATCGTCAGGTTTGGCCACAACGTTCACCAGGATTTCTGAGGAGACGCGTGCTCAACGGGCCAAAACTAAACGTCTTCTTTCAGCCGGGTTTCCATTTCTAAGGCAATTTAACTTCCACTTGCAAAACTGCTGCAACTAATCACAACATTTTGTCCATTTCTGGGGTTCCTCTGACCGACTGGTGCCAGTGGCTTTGCCCTGTTGGCCGTTTCTGCTCCTTGACCTGGAGATGAGCGAACATTTTCCGTACAGCAGACAGCAGCTTCTGCTCCCAGTCAGCGGATCGGTTTTGCTAAGATCCGGTTCAGTTAGGACCTGGAGTTAATGTTCGTGAGAGCTTCAGGTTCCAGATCGTCTGTGTCAGAAAAGGTCACAGGACCAGTGCTCCCAGTAGTCCCAGACTCCCTCAGAGTGATGATCTCAGGTCAGGGCAACTTACCGGTAATTCAGGGATTTACCAAAAAGATGAAGACCAGCCCCAGACAGGAAATAAAATGGGGTTGATCCAGATACCTGTAAACGTGTTTTCTCCAAACAGCTGAAGAACCTGAAAACCTATTTTAATTAACTCATTGGCTGCCAAAGACGTCTATAGACGTCTTTTATGTTTTTCAACGAGAGTGGCTGGGGGACGATCTGCTAAAGCTTGTCCGTAAATATCGGCTTCTAGACAGAGTATGTACTAACAAATTGACCCTCTAGGTGGCAGTGCCACTTTTGATGGGAGATGAGCATAGACTGTAGGCAAATAAGAAAAAGGTAACGGTTCGCTATGAGAGAACATGTCGCCGGTGAGACGCAAGTCGAGGAAGAACGGAATAAACAATTTTTTTGTCCTGATGAAAGAAGAGAGTTTACTCTTTCTTTTGGTGTGTTCGGTGTTTACATAGTCATAGCACAAACTATTCTGTGGCTCTTGAAAAATCAGTCAAAATGCTCAAAAAACTCTGGCAGTATGGGACTCTCTCTTCTGAAAATGACTGGCAGTCAATGAGTTAAAGCCCTTTTGAGTTTTTAGCCATTAGATCGCCACTAAGCTGGTTTGAAACTAAAGGGCATCCTATCAAACTAGGACACAGCTTTTTTGAGGTTACAAGTCATTAACTTGCAAGCACAGGTTTTTATACATGGCCAGCAGAGAAAAACAACAACTTCTGAACATATGGTCTACTTACCCTGAGCAACAAGCATTTCCTCTCTCTGCCAGGAACAAAAGGAGAGCAATAGAAATTGAATTAGTGCTGCATTGCTAAGGCCCTTGTAGTTCACCTCCGCTACAAAGAGAGAAAGGGTTAAACATCACACATAACCACAACCACAGCTCACTTGAGGTGCAGCAAAGGGGATGGATGTCGGTGTCTGTTTTCCTCTTATAGGACAGACATCCAACACTGACTCGACAGAAACGGCCCACTTGAGTCATCTCTGTGGTTTTGGGGTCCACCTCCGTTGGTTTGCAGTGGATCAGAGTCACTGTGGAGCTCCTGGAAACGTCCAGACTCCCACCAACTCCCTGATGGGTCTGGTGGGAGGCCGCCTTTTGCTCCAAAGAGTCCAAAACTTTGTTCGTTCTGACCAGGTCTGTGGGCTCTCGGACCACAGGTCTACAACACAGGATCCGAAGCCCGACAGCCGCGCCCCAATTCAAAGTTAGGCTCCTCCACCTTTCGGCTCGCTTCAAAAGTTCCCGGGCTGGTAGACGAGGCTCAAACAGAACAGCCTCCCCAGGAACCGGGAAGGGAAACGCCCCAGGAAGAGACGCACGGCGCTGCCAACCAACAGCTAAAACCACAAAAGACGGACGGGGAGAGAGGAACATCTGGCCAGTAGAAACAAGGCAAGATTTAATTCGACTCCATGGAGAAGAAGAAGGGATGTCCAGAGGGCCCCGCCCTCACACACCGCCAGGTGGATGAGGCTCCGGCCCCCCAGCCCCGAGTTGGAATAAGAGAATATAGATGGAAAAGAGCAGCTTAGAGAAATGGAGGATCCTATAAAATGCTCGCATAGAGTTCAAGGAGAGTCAAACTAAAGCACGAATATAGAATATCTCTGTAATTTATGTGTCTGTTTCCTCCAAGTTCTGAAAAATCTTCATCAAAGTCATGGCGCATCTCTTCCAGTCTCCTTCCCAAAAATTAGAAGGCTCCAGATAAGGCTGCAGGTGGGGGTAACAGGTTCAGATCAGACGACTGGTGACTGAACTGTGGGTGGTTGTGTGTCTCTGTGGCCTCCCGTCCAGGATGCCCGCCGCCTCTCGGCCAATGAAAGCCGAGGACAGGCTCCAGCCCCCCCGCCCCAAAACCCTGCTGGGAATATGCCACGCAGACACGGGTGGACAGACCGAGTTAATTTAGGCGGATGACCAGACTGGGGACATCCAGTCCAGAGGCATTTTAATAAATAATAATAATAATAATCAGGGAGCAGAGAGTGCTGGTGCTAATTCCAGTGACTAAAGAGGACTAAAGGAGAACCTTGGCTGAAGGCCTCAGGGGGGAAATTACTTATTCAGACATGCTTGGAGAAATATTTCCATGTATAATCGCTAAATGGTTAAATGGTAAGCTAGATAAATAAACAAAGAGGATCTTTGCCTGTCCAGGTCGGGGGACGAACTGAAGCAGCAAAGTTCAAGTTTTATGTTCCAGTCTTACCTAAAATGTGTCAGTTACTCACTAATCTCAGAGCTGGCTGAAGAGATGAACAACCAGTTCTGTGCGACTCAGTTTGTAAAGGAGAAAATGGACCTCGTCGGGAACCCGAAAGGACTGAAATCGCACAAGAATCCACCGTACCAGATTTTATGTTCAGCGCTTTTCGTAAAGCCAAAGTGTTTCAGACCAGTCCAGGTCCTTTAAGGAACAATGGCTGTAAGGATGCAGCCATTTACAGACGCTGCCCATGAATCACTTATGCAATGAAAGAGAGATTTTCTTCTGTGAGAGAAGAGAAAAGAACCAGACTGAAGAATTGTCTTGATGAAAAGGATGTTCTGCTGATCTTATTCCAGTTTTAGTCCAGTCCCAGTGATCTCTATAAAATACACCGCTTCCACATTTCAGCATGGTGGATCCAAGCCACAAAGAAGTGAGAACAAAGTGCTGACGAACGGGGAGTGTAGAGAAATTAAACACTGAAGAGGCTTTCGAAGAATGAATAGACCTTAAGGAAAATTTGGAATGAGATCAAAACTATTTAGTTCGGATCTCATGCTGCGTTTACTTTTGTCTTTAACCTGTAAGGACAAGAAACTGGTGATCGAATAAAGAAGATCAGTTGTCATTTCATTATCAGTTTACAGACACAAATAAATCTATTGGGACTCCATGTTTGAGGGGGGGAGGGTACCTTTATGTGTCCAGGGGAGGTCAGGTGTATCTTGTACAAGGTCTCTCCACGTAAGGACTTTTCACAGGCCTAGGTTAAAAGAAAAAAACATCCATCAATTGCAATTTGTCAAGTGACAAATGTAAGACGAGACAGCAGGTATGAAGCTACAGGCAGGAAGGATGTTAGCCTCTTGTTGTTTTTTCGGTCCTGGCCAATTTCAACTCTTTGAATTTAAATGTCTGCAACTCAAAACTGTGGTTAAAAAATATTCTCTGTTACATATTTGCAGAAATGAAAATAATTTACGCGTACCCCACACTTATTTGAACACATATATATACTATTTTACCGCATTTCGGTTAGAGGATTGATGCTAATTCTCCCTCATTAATTAAGCTAGCCGCAATATAAACACAGCCTGATAGCTAACTTTCGCCTGCTTACCTTACAATCAATAAATTCAGCTTCTTCGTCATATGGCGTTTCAAGGTTGTCCATTATTGCCCCTTTTGTAGCAACTTTCACCCTCTTCTCTTTTAGCGGCTATTAGCTTAGCAGTTTTTTTCAACTGGCTAACGAACGCGAGCCTGCGTCGGATCGGGACGTAAAGCCACTAAATTTCTTCAAAGCGGGTAAAAAAAGAAGCTTTTGGGGCAAGGGGTCAAATCAACTAATTCTTTTTTGTAGCTTACGTTATTTATTTTAGGGGAAGTTTTAAATCAGAGAACCAGTTTCGTCGAATATAACGTCTACTTCCGGGATGTTAGTGTACATCACCCTCTCCTCTCGCGAGAGTGGCGACGTTAAACCGAAGGGCAACAACGGCAAAACATTCTGAGGGTAAACAAAACCAGCGCACCCTGCTGGTTACGCCTTAAGATTCACTATGTGAAAGTAAAACATTACAATAAAGACAGGACAGAATAATTACAATTGTTAGTTTTTGGTGATAATGCCTCTCAATTTCACATTGACTCACTTTTCTTCTTCAGGTGTTTTATGATCCCTTCAAATCTTTCTTTAGTCTCTGTCTCTGTTGCATTTAAGATCATATTTCAGATTCCTTTGACCTTTTTCAAGAGAACTCTTCCTCTCTATATTGAAATGATCACCTATCAAGTTTGCTCTTTCACATTCAGTCCTCCTGCTCAGTTGGTACACTGTTTATCAGCCTGTTCAGATAAGTCAGTAGAAATCCATCTTTTTCTTATTTTTTTCTTCTTCGTTCTTCTTCTTTCAGCTTTTTATGTTTCAAATAAACAGCTCTTTGGAGTTATTTATGCATTTTAGGTTTATTTGGTTCTACGAAGCATATGCTTCACATTTACAAAAACAAAGACATAATATGTTAGTCTAGCTTTGGAAATTTTGGGAGCTTCTTAATCTGTGTGCACAGCTTTGGAGACACTTAAAACAATGAAGCAATGATGTAAACAAGGCAGCACTCTTTCACTCACTAAGTCAGTACATCCAAGATCTGATGCAAAGCTTCTCGCCTTAAAACATTGTTAACACAGAAAGAAATCATAAACACAACAAGAGTAGGCATAACACCAGTATCGTCATGCAAATTTGTATATGTCACAAAGTATGTTGTTTTTTTTATGTGAAACTTGGCTTTCTACTCATTTTTCTGATAACTTCTAATTATAAAATCAATTATTCCAGTCCAAACGATTGCCTCTGATTTCACTAGCCAAGAATGAAAACTTAATACATAAGCTAAACTGGAAAATGAGTATTGCAAAAGCAACACAAATTATTATGATAAAGGGACGTGTACCCTGGTGCATTATCTTTAGTCAATATAAATACAAAAATACCACACCAGCCTTACCACTTCAAAGCTCTAAGGTTAGACGGCGGGAGCAGGAGACCCGTGTTTGATGAGTACAAATCCTAACGACAGTGGTTTTACTCTTAAATTAAAACATTAGCTGGCACACGGATAAAGATCAGGAGACTTTGTACAGGAAAGAAATGGACAGACATTCTGCTGGAGACAGAACAGGGAGCATGAATCACCAGGGGTGACACTGGTGGGTTGTTTTAGTAGCAGGAGGTCCTGTGGTGAGCGGGGGGGCCCGGTGGGGGGGTGGTTCTCGGTTATTTGGAGTTGTAGAGTCCGTCGGGGAGGTTGTTCAGACGTGATCGCAGCTCCTTCCGGACCTGCGTCACCCGGGCCAGTTTGCGCTTGTACTCCTGAAAAAGTCCACGAAAGAAGATCGTTAGACCCCCAAATTGGACCATTTTTTTTCATCTAGCCGGAGCAGGATTCAAACCGAGCTGGATTTGATATGAAAAACACAGTGGGTGTATAGATATGTATAGATATTTTTGTTTTTTTTTACTGGATCCCATCAGGCTGAGGGTTCATCTCAGGATCTCCAGCTGGAGGCTTCATGTTCACTGTCAAATGTGTGTGTTTTTAAAATAACAAAGCAAGCATAAGAAGAATAATCCTACATGAATTCATAAGAAAGCTTTTGTTCTTATATAGCAGACGCACAAAGGGGGCAGTAACATGTCGGTGGGGGGGTTTTGAGGGCTTCGTGTGGATGGACGAAAGCACGTTTGCAGCACCTTCATTTCTCATAAGACAATTACACAAAGTGGAGGTCATGTTTTTTTGTTTTTTCTTCAGATTCATAATTGTATGGCGTTAAATTTGACTGATGCACGTCAGTAGTGAGCTGTTCTGGTTGAGCGTCTTTTTCTTTTTACCATTTTCATGCTGATCTATTCAGTTGAGTTCACTGGACTGAGTTCGATTCAACTGTCAAATGTTTTAAATGCTATCAGACCTTTGTGTCAAAAGGGGCTGGTAGTGTTAGAGCAAAATGAAAGCACTCACAAAATTATTTTCATTTTTTATTCAATACTTTTTCTTTTCTTTTTTATTATTTACAAACGAGACACGTGAAATGTTCCGTCCTCTTGGGTCCCTGTGGGTAAATTCTGCACAGTTATTGTCACCACAAAAATAAAACACATCTCGGAGGGATTAATATGAGCCATTTCGTTTTGAAGAGCAAACATCATTACTTACCATGTGGACAATGCTCACAGAAATGTGGATTTTAGTCAGTTTGTGTCTGATTAAAACTCATTCCTCTCTTAGATTAAAAGACTTTGTTTGCATGCATGAAATAAATTTTTCTCAAAAGACGGCAAACGCAAAATGAGTTCACAATTTCTCCGACAGGCAAAACCTAGACTAACCAGACTAGATAAGAATGAAAAATAAAAAAGTAAGTTATTCACGCACTTCGAGTTTCTGCTCGTTCTGGACCAA